ATAAATCATGGAAATCTAATGTGTGTGTGTGTGTGTATGTGTGTGTGACAGTTTGAATGCAGCAATTTCTCTGTAGGCATGTGGACATCTTCTTGTAAGCATCTCTAATGTATGAGACTTGCAGTATATCAGAATCAGTTTTCATACAGTACCATTTTAATGGTTCAGGACATGTTTTGTGCTCTTTTATTTAGGAGATACAGTGACCCCTTTAGGTAATCAAGGAAACTGCACTTTATTTAACGTTATTTAAGTTCTCAACAGATGATGACACAGATGAGTGAACATCCTGTATGCCAGTTATGTTTAGACACTTTTTTTGACAGAACACTGTGATACACTAAAATCTGTTGAGCACAAAAGGAAAATTTTAGAAGAATGTCTGAGCTGCTGGGCTGCCAAGCTCTAAAAGGAACAAAAAAGCACCAAAAAAAAGATTCATCATATTCCAACTGGTTGAGACACCGCAGCATATTAACTATCAAAAAAAAATAAACTATACTAAATAGTCAAGTGCATTCAATCACATTGATTGGCACAAAGTTTTTTAACTCTAGCACAAAATGACATCAGATGTGTTTTTGCTTTATGATTTTTATTTAATTTATGCTATATATTAAATCATTATTTATCGTAATGTACAATTAGCTGTACAATACTACTGTATTTTGTACATGCAACTTATTGTTTTATTGTACATTTAAAAAAAATATCCTTTTGTTTTTTTCAATAACTTTTAATTACAGACACACCATATTAGCATTCTAGAATGTCTAGAATTGATGTGCAGGTGTGCAAGTGTGAATATATCATCTGTTTAATGTTGCTCATTCAGTCATAATGTCTTACTGTTGAGTCTTTTGTTTTTAAGTGTTACATAATGTAAAGCTGTTTTGACACTGATGCCAAGCTTATCATTCATTAGTTATTAATAATCTTATTATCTGATTTGAATTCATAAAATTAAATCTAATGAGTTGGATCTCATTTGATTAAACAAGAAAAAAAGAAATCAAATGAGATAATGTCCCTTTGATTTTAAATCATTAAATCATTCAAGACACTACATAATACATACACATATAGCGTATTTAGGGGTTGAATTTCCAGAAAAACTTAAAACTAAATTGTGATTTAAACTATTACAATTCACTTTATATCCTCATACACACACACACAGTCACTCTCTCTCTCACTCACCCACACACATGCACACACGTCTGGTCAGCTATACTTGTGGGGACTCTCCATAGGCGTAATGGTTTTTCTACTGTACAGACCATATATTCTATTGCCCTACACCAACCCTACCCCTAAACCTACCCCTCACAGGAAACTTTGTGCATTTTTAGATTTTCAAAAAACTTCATTCTGTACGATTTATAAGCTTTTGTACCCATGGGGACCACAATTTAGGTCCCCACCGTGACACGAGTCCCAATGAGTCTGTGTGTAGTCAGGTTTAAGTCCCCACCAGGATATATAAACCAGTACACACACACACACACAGCAACTGGCAATACTTCAGTTGTACTTCTGGAAATGATTTTGCATTCAAATAAAAAGTTTTAAACCAAATTACTCTCCAAAACTCTCTATTTTTATTATTTCATATTTAATAAAAAAATTAACTAAAATGTTTATAGTGTAACTAGATTTTCTCTCATTTAACTTAGCTAATTCTTCTGTTAACATTATTAACTAATGTTAAACCAAATTACTCTCCAAAACTCTCTATTTTTATTATTTCATATTTAATAAAAAAATTTACAAAAATGTTTATAGTGTAACTAGATTTTCTCTCATTTAACTTAGCTAATTCTTCTGTTAACATTATTAACTAATATGACTAATAAGAAGGTTAATAAACTTACAATTGTTCATTGTTTGTTCGTGTTGTTTCAGAATACATTAGATAATGTTAGCAGACAATTTGTCATTTGATTTGAATAAATATGACATATTCTAAATGTTCATTGCTGGTTCATGTTAACTAATATTAACAAATGAACCCTTATTGGAATGTGCTACTGCTTTGCCCAACTCTGTTGGATCTTTATACAGTACTGTATATGATACATACAACAATGAGACTGGCTGGTAAAAGATGCTTGGTTGTGGCTGCGCTCTGGGTGCGAGGACACAGTGAGGGATGCAGTTCTGCAGAGCAGGAAAAACGATATGAGAGATAGATGAGAGCAGTTACAGTAAATGGAAGAACAGGAAGAAAGAATTTCTCTTAATGACATGTTTTAATATCCTCGTCAAAAAGCGGCAGCTGGTTGAAGATGTATGAGGAATCAGCAGTTATATCATTTTTCCTTCCTCTCCATTCATCCTTCACTGGCTATAGTATCCATTTTCTTATTTCAGCCTTTCAATTCTTTACAGCTCTCAACTCAGTGTTTCATTCATTTCTCCATTCTGTCAATTGCTCATCACATGTTGGACCTCTCGCTTACTCTCTGTCTTTTTCCGCTAATATAGAGAATAAAGGTTTGAGTCTCAGCTTCAAAGCGATGATGTGTTTTCTTTTATAAAATCCATATATTTGCCTGATTGACTTGCCTTTGTGTGTGTGTGTGTGTGTGTGTGTGTACGCGTTTTTGTGACAAATGAGGACATAAATTTGTATAATGACAAAGGTATGACATAGGTATTACAAGAAGAAGGTGACTTTTCAGGACATTACCCCATGTCCCCACTTTTCAAAACGCTTATAAATCACACAGAATGGAGTGTATTGAAAATCTGAAATAGCACAAAGTCTCCTGTAAGGGGTAGGTTTAGGGGTAGGGTTGGTAAATGGCAATAGAATATACGGTCTGTACAGTATAAAAACCATTACGCCTATGGAAGGTCCCCACTTTTCACAAATGTAAACCTGTGTGTGTGTGTGTGTGTGTGTGTGTGTGTTCACGTTAAGTGCAGTGATTAAACCAATTGCTACATACCCATACACACACCTATTGATACCATATAGTATCTGCCTCCAACTAAATATTTTGTTAATTTGTACTGTTTTTACTTCCTTTGCCTCACACATCTGTATCAAATTACACAACTGAGATTTAGGTATATGGATCTTTGCATTGCAAATCATGTAATTCAACAGCAATAATTCAAGCAGTTTCATAAATAAAAATAAAATGTATATTGTGGGGGTCCAAAAGTCAGAGGCCAAACACACCCTCAAACACAAACCGGCCTGAATGTGTTTGACTGACTTTACTAGATTTACAAAAAGATATGCCCATTCGGACATCACCACATTATGAAAAAAATTTACTTGAAATAAAATGAAGTCTTCTTTAAGTGAGCCGTTTTAGTGAGCACTTCATTTACTAAAGGATTTGACTACAAGAATTAAGTTCCTAAATGAAAGTGAATATTAATAATAATAGTTTAGCTGAAGTTAGTAGTTGTAAATAAAAGCTACACAAAATATGCTTTTTACTGTATTATAGTAATTTCTTTATTATTTTTTAAATCAATAATAAATAAACAAATAAAATACAAAGCTTGATGGAACTTTGTCAACTCAGGCTCACTGGAAAATTTATTTTTGCAAAATTATATTATATTGATTCTTTCACAAACCTCTTAAAGTGAATTGTGCAATGAGTGCCACATAAATTGTGGTCAGTTTTATCCAAAACACATAAACATGAATCTAATTGAATGTATCAAGGCAGTTGCGAATTAAATGTTGCTTAAAAGTTAATGCTCTGTTGCATTTAAAAAATAATGTACCGCCCTACATTAGCCTAACTGATAGTATTAACAAAAGCAACCATGAGATAAAAACACATTTGCTGAAGCATCCATGACATTTTAGTTTGCTTATACAAATATTTGAGCTCTTTTGTCGCTACTCGTGTTTCACAGGACTCATACTCGCAAGTGCACTGCTGTACCAGGTGGACTACAGAGCAAGTTTACTTTCTCAGAAATACCATACATATGGAGAAGGGTTATATGATGAAAACCTCAAAATGTATTTGTTTACAAATAATGCACTATGGTAAAATTGTTTTGAGGTCATAACATAGTATGAAAATGCATAAAAATAAGTCTTTATTCATCAATAATCTGCCCTGTAATCATAATTTGTGTGAAAAGTTGTTTTTTACTGCCACTAGTGTCCAGTCAAGCTGGAAATTGAATATGCTGCATAGTTGTGATTTTGGGGTTTAGCACAAAATAAAGCAAAACCAATGCTTTTTCATATGCACTTAACTGGTGTAAACATGAAACTGAACACGAATTTACATACATGAATTAACAAAAGATAAGATTTCCTTTGCCTCAACAAAAGTCCAACCTGCATCACTGCAAAATACATATCAGTGGACATTTCAGATAGATTCACTGTGTTCTGATTCATTAAATCACCTTCTCCGATATTTATGGCTGGCTGCCTGTGATTTATAAATCACACTAGAGATTTCAAACTTTCAAAGAGTCGCCCTCCCTCCTGTGTCTCTGTTTTGTCCTTCTCACATTCGCTCTATTTTTCCCTCAGGCCGTTAGTCAGCAGTTCTGTGTTTGGTGTGCGTGTGTGTTTCCACTGATTTTACAGTGTGTTTGCTGTGTGTCAGTTGTGTGTGCGTGTGTGTATTCAGATAGATGGATGACCTCTTGTTTAATGGCTGATGTAAATAACCTCTATCTGCTTCTGTGTGGTTGATATACGAGTGAAACGGGTTCACCTTCTGTGTTCTTGCCTCTGGGTGACCTGTTTCCTCCAGACACCACACCACAGCTGGCCATAATGACACCAGTGGTCTTCTGTGTGTGTGTGTGCTGTAGGGTCACGGTCAGGTGTAATAGCAGCCATTCTTTCACTCTTCACTACCTGCATGCAGATACACCCAAACAGGTGTCTTGTGTTTCAGAATGCAGATGTAATTAAAGTTTGTCCTCATCTGATCTGACCATTAAACATTTACTACAGAAACATGCATCTGTGACACCTGTGCCTCTTTCTCTCTTTACAGTGCAGCAGTGACTATGCTCCAGTGTGCGGATCTAACAGCGAGAGCTATGAGAACCATTGTCTCCTGCGCAAAGACGCCTGTAAATTGCAAACAGAGGTGCTGGTGGTGTCAGAGGGTGCCTGTCCTGTCGGTACGTCCCTGTGTCGTAGAGGTGACTGTCCTTCCTGTGTGTGTGTGTGCCGCTGAACGTCTCAACGGCACCTGTTAAACTGGAGTTATAAAATTCATTAACACTTTACAATAAGGTTCTGTTTGTTAATGCATCACGTATCGTGAACTAACAATGATAAATAATTTAGTAGCATTTATTAATCAAAGTTCAATCTCAAATCTCTGCTTAACACTGGGTCAGTATTGCACAAAACAGAATAGTTTGTCTTGTATTTCAGTATAGATAATATCTATACAATATTTAAACAACCTTATTATTTTTTTACCACATTGCTTTATAACATAGTTTTTTTCTTGTTTAAAAGCATGAATCTAACTGCTTAAACTATATGTGGAAAATAAAGAATAAATTGTAAGAAAAATGAACTTAATTTGAGATAATCTCTGAAAACGTGTTTATGGTAGTGTTGATTTTTCAAATAAATTGATCTTGTTTTAAAGATGTTTAGATAGCTTCACTGCACAACAAATTGATTATGATTTTGTTTCTTTTCTAATGATTTGCTAATACTTCAATCAGTGCTGGGTAAACGCATTACAAGTAACACAAATTTTGTAGTCAGATTACTTTTTTAAGTAACTAGTAAAGTAAAGTTACTTTTAAATTTACAACAAAATATCTGAGTGTTGGCGCCGATAACCTAGTGGGCAAGTACGCCAACATATAACGCCTTTGCGTTATTAGTGTCCTGAGTTTATATATATATATATATATATATATATATATATATATACAAGTTACTTTGTTTTCCCATTTATTCAATGACTTGTCACCGGGTTGAGAGAAATTGGGCTGAGGTTTATTAATTTCACTTTTGGTGTGAAAGGGACTTTACAGTTGCCAAATAAACATTTTTGTTATCAAAAGCAAATAAGCAAGCCCAGGTGACGAAAAGTAATGCAAAAGTAATGTAATACATTGATTTCAGTAAATATTAACCAAGTAATGCAATTAGTTACTTTTTTTATAGAGTAACTTCATATTGTAATGCATTACTTTTAAAAGTAACTTTCCCCAACACTGCCTAGGATCAGGTATAATGTGTTAACAATTGTTGAAGAACAATATTTTAAAAGAATATGTTAATCTAGGTTTAAGTTGATTCATTAAAATAAAATAATTTTTATAACACTACAATAAGGTACAATTTGTTAATATTAAAGCATACAATTTGTTTTTTACAAAATTCATCAATCTATGAATATGTTAGCTCATAAAAAATATATTTTTGTACTACATAGCTAATTTGAAATGTTTAAAATGTATGTGTATGTCAAAGAAAGAAAGAAAGAAAAGGTTAGAATCAGAATCCCTCCATGTTCACACATAGATGTTAGAACTTTTGTTAGATGTTAGAAAAATTCAAAGATAAATTAAACCGCAAACTCCCATTAGCAGGGAGCAGTGATATGTCCACATGCTCTCGACGCTCAGAGGCGAAACATTCCAAAGTGAAACATCCAGCGGGGTTCAGTCTAAATGTGCTGACTTGTAGCCACACCGCGGAGGAAATAACAGTGATTATGAGCTAAAGTAACGATCATTCACTAACACCTAATGACTCTGAGAGTGACGAATGCACCTGGTGTCAGGTGAAATACAAAACGACACAGTTGGTTCAGAATGTTAATGGAGATAATGACACTTCTGAAACTGGGATATATAATAATCTTACAAAAAAAAATCTGTGAAACGTAGTGTTTAGAGATTGCTATGTCAATTATATTTCATTTAAGTATCAACTTTGTCTCATAGATTAATGCTAAAATTCTTATATTGTACATTACACATTGTTAACTCCTGCTTTTGCTGTTACAATGTGTGTGGTGTGAAACAGTCTTAGGAATTTGAAGGGCACCTATTATGCCCCATTTTACAAGATGTCAGGGAAATGTCGAGAAACCCAAACTGCCTTAGTCTTTGTTCCCATGGTTTCCAGATGTTTAAAGGGCACCTATTATGCCCCGTTTTACAAGATGTAATATTGGTCTTGGGTGTCCCCAGAATGTGTCTGTTAAGTTTCAGCCCAAAATACCCAACAGATCATTTATTATAACAGCTGGAAAATGTCATTTTTGGGGTGTGTCTAAAAAAGAGCTGTTTTGGAGTGTATCGCTTTAAATGCAAATGAGCTGCATATTCCCGCCCCGTCTCCAGAAGAGGGCGTCGCATATACGTCTCTCTGCATTGCATATCTACAGCAATAAACAGCTGGTAGAAGCAACATAACTGAGAGCGAGAGAACCGTTGTTTAGCCGTACATATGGGAAGCCAAATTCACTGAAAGTGGGACGAAACAGCGCAATGTTACAGAGCTCGTGCCGCGCAGACCTGTCATCGGCGCAGATCAATTGATTGAGCTGCGTGATCGCGCTACGAACGAATCTCACGCTGCGAATGGCGCAAACTAATCTCACAAGCGTGGCGTTGATCAGTTAAAAAATTATTAATGTACGCACACAAATACGGTTAAAACGCTAAGCACTAATGACATGACATTCACAGAGTCTGGAGTGATACACGTATTTAGGTAGATTTTGAGGCGCATTACCTTGAAAAATGAAAGTAATCCACAGCGTCCTTAGCAGCTCAGATGTTTGGAGAAAATTAAGTCTCTTATGTTCAGTCTTACATCCAAACACAGAACACGGGGATTGCTTGCGAGACATTGTTGATGTTACAGCTGCTCGAGCGCGGAGAAAATGGAGGACAGCGTACAACCGCTGAGGGCGGAAACTATAGCAATGCAGAGCTGTCAATCAACCCCCGTGGCCCCACCCTATACAATGTGATGTCACAATGTATGAGAATCAAAACGGCAGGCCTAGTGAGACTTACTTGGTTTAAAGGGGATTAAAAAATGAGGAGTGGGTGGATTTTTATCATTGTACGGTGGTTGTGTTCACACACTGCCAACACACATTTATGTCCAAACACCATGTAAAAGTGGTTCCTCTTCAGGAACTCGAGCTGCGTCGAGAACACTAGGGGAACGCCTTCAGTGACCCACGCTCTGAATCACATGTGAAATCAGTCCAATAGCTGAGCGGTACGTCACGGCGGATGACGTCATGAACGGGAAGCTATAAAAGCACGTGCGGCGGAGCCAGCGTCAGCTTTCTGCCATTCAGCGAAGCGCTCTGTGTGTGTCAGTCATATTTATTGTTGTCTGTCAAAAGTCTATAAGCTTCCGGCGTCCCTGCCGGCGCTTGCTTCATTCCTAGAAGCTGACGCTGGCTCCGCCGCACGTGCTTTTATAGCTTCCCGTTCATGACGTCATCCGCCGTGACGTACCGCTCAGCTATTGGACTGATTTCACATGTGATTCAGAGCGTGGGTCACTGAAGGCGTTCCCCTAGTGTTCTCGACGCAGCGTCTCGTTCCCTCGAGGAACTAGGGTTACATACGTAACCTGAGACGATCTTGCATAATAGGTGCCCTTTAAATGAAAGCTCAGTTTATTCATGAAAAACATGAAATTTAGATTTTTTTAATGTTTTTACTTTTGCAAAGACATTTTATGTCTTTTTACAGTTTGTTTTGCTTAGGAAGACAGTTTAGATGCAAGTTTGATTGACGTTCTGACAGTGTGATGGAAGCCAATTCCAGCCTATCTCACCTGCTGGTACAATATTAGAGAGAAAGAGAAACAGAGCACAGCTCTGACAGCAGTCACCAGTGAAGGTACTGATACTCTAATGTTCGCTGAAATTGAATCTTTAAATAACATTTAATACCAGAAACGATTCTTGTTTGTTTTCCCTCCTTCCTCCATTGTTTTTCTCTCTCATTTCAGTCTCTTTCTTTCACCTTTTCTTCATTGTCTGATCAATAATCTGAGGTGTAGAGACACCGCTTTAGGAAGACTATTCAGAAAAGCTAAGTGGAATTGCGATCAGGCTTGTGTACTGCTATAATGGCAAATGACTTTGTTCCACCTCTTTCTGTTTTCCTCACAAACATGCACAAAGACACACTTCTACTCATTAGAGGTGACTTCCTGTGAGGACACACACACACAAAGTATTTTGGTCCAGTTTCTATGTCCTCTTTTTGTCCTCTGTCTCTAGATTAGCCCACTTTTTGACATATTTTATTAAATGAGGAAGAAGTCTAATTCAATCCAGAACAAAGATAAATATATAATAATAAATATCTAAATGTGTAATGAGGCTTACATTCAGATGTAGTTGTAGATTATAGAAAATATATACATTTAATATAAAAAATAAATTGGCTTAGTGTGTGTTTGTGTGTGTGTGAGTGCTGTATATTTCCCTTAAATTGTAGAAACTTTTTCTTTTTTTTGCAATACCTTGGGTAATGTGGTAATGTAACAATTGAGAATATAAAGTAAGGTCGTTTACTTTCCTGCCATGCTGTAGGGTCCAAAAAATGTTATTGTTTTGTGTCTCGCAATTTTTAAGAACATTAAATATTTGTAATGGGGAAAAATAACGCAGAATGTTGCACACATTTAAATGCTACAATTAAAAATGGCTATTTTCAACAATGAACTGAAGCAATTTCGAACAGGCCACAATTCCCATTTTAAATGGGGGACATTAGATGTGTTTACAACAAACTACTTTTCAGGGAAAGTAACTTGTATGTTCGTTAATAGTTTTACAAGCATATCTAGCAAAAACAGCACAATGTGAAAAGTAGAGTCCCCACCATGGTAGAAAAACAGCCATCTGTGTTTGTCTGTGTGTGATGCAGAGATGTGGGGTTGTTCAGAGGCAAAAGCAGTAATCAGTGTCAAGTAAAGTGGGCTACATTTCCTCACAGACCACAAATCATTGTGTGTGCTATATGGGGGTACACAAATCTGAGTGTGTGTTTGGAGACAGAATAAACACAGGTCACACTGCTCTCAAATTGATCACCCATTGCTTGTAAAGAAGAGAAAGATAGGGGAATGTAGTTATAAATCAGACCCTCTGTGTATATGTGTG